ATATCAGTTCCCTTATCTTTACCCTCACCTATATCCTCCTCCTTCCCCGTCAACCCCATTTACACCAACCTGTTACTTTCCTGATTTCCTCTCCTGAACTGTCCTATTGCAAACCCCAACCAGTTATCCTGAGGACACCCACACTTCCTGGTGTATCATTGCCAGTGTTCTATCAATGTTGCGACTACGCTTGAATGTGCGACCGGTGACACGGTCACACATTTCAACGTAATCCCACCCAGTTTTACAGTGGTGGAATGTGTGACCGCTCATTAGGTCAAGCATTCCAACGTTTTGTCAGCTGTTCCAGGGCAGATCGGCTCACTAAGCATGTGCAGAACAACCGATCTGCATTACCTCATCTGCCTGGAACAGCTGATCGGTCCTCAAATGTCACTTCTATCCGGCCTCACATTCCACCACACTCACAAAGTCGGATAGAAGTGACATTTTGAGAGACATTCGAGGACCGATCAGCTGTTCCAGGCAGATGAGGTAATACAGATCGGTTCTCCTGCACATGCTCAGTGAGGCAATCTGCCCGGAAACCGCTGACAAAGCGTTGGAGTGCTTGACCTAATGGGCGGTCACACATTCCACCGCTGTAAAACTGGGCAGGATTACGTTGAAATGTGTGACCGTGTCACCGGTCGCACATTCAAGCGTAGTCGCAACATTGATAGAACACTGGCAATTACAGGATTACATTGAAATGTGTGACCGTGTTACCGGTCACACATTCCAACGTAGTCACAACATTTAACACCTGCTCACTCGTTATACATATATCTGCTGTGTTTTGGTTTTACTGCCTTAAACGTTGACTGAAAAGAATAAAAACAACAAAAGAAACAAAACCACATAAAAAAAAGAAAGTTTGCGTTCCCGTGGAAGGGGAGAGAGAAGGTGAATTTGAGATGACAGGCAGATGAGTCAGGGAAATGCCAGGAAAATACAAGACTGTTGAAGGATGAGATAGGAGGTGACACATGCGCCAATGCGTGGTCCAGAAGAGACAGAAAAACAGTCACGACTTCAACCACGCATTACAGCGGCACAATCATGAGACACACGGGTGTTATATAATCTAAAAGAAGAATGTGACGAGACGTTACTAAAACTGCAACAGGATGAATGAGACTCAGGAAGGTAAAGGTGGAAAAGAAGGTGGTTAGTCAGGTGATACAATCATGGAGGCGCTGGCCGGACACAGGTAAGCACAGATCCTGC